GAGATGTTGGCCGGCAAACCCAAACCTTCAACGAGTTTGGCTGGCAATCTGCAAACATGAAAGGACATGCTGGTAGGCAAACTCGAACACAAACTCAATGGGCTTGGTTGGAAAGCCTCAAACCCCAACAAAAAACTGGCAAACCCCACACCCGAAAAGGAGATGTTGGCCGGCAAACCCAAACCCCCAATGAGTTTGGCTGCAATCTGCAAACAAGAAAGGACATGCTGGTAGGCAAACTCGAACACAAACTCAATGGGCTTGGTTGGAAAGCCTCAAACCCCAAAACGAAACTGGCAAACCCCACGCCCGAAAAGGAGATGTTGGTCGGCAAACCCAAACCCCCTACGAGTTCGGACAAACCGCAACTTGAGGGCTAGGGGCATGGAGAACGAAAGCTCGGTCTTTTCTTCGCAAGCGGGTCTGGCGGCGGCCACGCAGGAGGTCCTGCAGCAGCGAGGTTCGTGAGAGTCATGTGATTGTTACCGCGGAAGCTGAGGACTGAAGTCGTGAAGTACGTAACTTGAAGCAAGTCGGGCAGCAAGGGGTTGTGTCTTAGGTGGGTGCAGAGGCACGTGTAGTCGCAATGTTTGAGTTGTTCAGCGTTTGCTGCGGCTGCAGGGCGTAGTGGTAGAAACGAGGGCTTCATGGCTGGCACTAGTTGCAGCGGTGCCTTTGATCGACCCTTGCCGCGGCAAGCGGCGGCGGCGGCAAGCATGAACCTGAGCCGGGGTGCTGTTGACGAACTTCTGCAAGAGCAGGATGCGTACGAGAGCGTAGCACAGCAGGATGCGTCTTTCGCATGTAGCATGTTGGAGGAGGAAGTCATGCTCGTTTCAAGGCTGCGGCGGGCATCACGTGAGCTGTGCTAAGTTGAATTGCACAGGCTCGGCACGAACGCGTCGTGGCTTGCGCAACACGCCTGTATCTAGTGCTTTCAGCACCTGCACAAGTTTGCAGGTGCTGAGTTGTACGGTCCTGAGGCTGCAATACCGATGCGCGGGAAGTGTCACCCGTGTCCATGTGCCGTCGCGGCCAGCAGCAACGTCGAAGTGGCTGGGTAGTAGATGTTGGGCCTCAGTTGAGATCTTGGCTACATTCTCTGTTGCGGCTCCTCCAGCCAGGCGCGAGCGAAGGTGCGGGAATTGTTGCCCAGATAGACAGGCGCTGCATCAGAGAACAGCAGTTCTCGGCCTGTCAAGTTGGGGCATGTTTGCAGGAACTCAACGAGATTGTTGGCGATGAAGTCGCTTGCACCTTCGATTGCTTTGCAAGTGCGGGCGTAGGCGGCAAGGTTAACGGTTGTGAGGCCGGTTTGGAGCAGGTGCGTGAAGCAGTGTCGCCATTGTTGGAAATTGTTTCCGTCGAGTGCCACCAAGAGCTTCTTGTTGCGCACTGCATGATCGGTGTCACGTGCTGCAAGACATTGCAGTTCTGTAGTCAGGATTGAGTTGCGTCCCAGCTCCACAGTATAAGTCTTCACGAAGACGGACTCGAATTCCAGCCGGGACGTGCTTCCAAATAGTGCTGTGAATTGACCGCACCATGAAACGAAGTCCGAGGAGCGCAGTACGGCGAACAGGTAGAAAGCTTCTGGAAACCAGTTCTTGGTGCGGTGGTTCCAGAAGTCAGGTTCGGCAGCTGGCATCAGTAAGTGCAGTTGGAGCAGTGAGAGCAGCTGCACGAAAGTAGCGTGGGTACCCAGGTAGTCCTTTACTGTCGGAATTGTGCGAAAGTTGCTTGGCAAGCTTTCCAAGGAAAGTTTCCGGGATCGTCGTCGCAGCACCGAGGACATAGATGCATGCAGGCCTCGGAAACGTAGATTTGTGCCTCCCGGGAAAGTCAGGTGACTCAGCACGGGTGGGGTTTTCCAATGTTTTTTCGTTGATTCCTGATCCTTGGGGCAGGAATGTTCAGAGCGACACCAGAATATCCAATCCTTGGCGGGGTTGTCCACCGACTGTCAGACTTTCTCCTTGACGTTATGCATTGTGGTCGGCGGTTCGTTCGTTCGGGCCCCTCTGCACAGACGGCCTTCCAAGCATGCCGCAGCAGCACAGGCTGATAAAGCTTCAGTCGAGCAGGCGTCTTAGGATGGCAGAGGCACTTGCAGCTTGCGCTTTGGAGCGACACCGGCGCGGTCTGTCGTCGGTTGGCTGGTCGGGAGCTGCTGCTGCCGCTGCTGCTGTGGCTGCTCCTGCACCTGCTCCTGCTAGTTGCCACCGTCAATGCCACTGCGACTGCGGCTGCTACTACTTCTACTGCCGCTGCCACTTTCACTGCTCCTTATGAAAAGGTCAGTCCATACGCGTGGATTGAACGAATACTCGCATGATGCTTTCACCTCTTTTCTTGGTAATACGTGGCAGGGCAGCCTGTCTTGCTTGAGGGAATGTGTTGTCCTACGGACGACCTGGACCTGTATGCAAGAAAACGAAACCCCCACCGCCTACGCTCCCTCCACCTGCATCTACAACATTTCTGTCTTGCGCTCGCCCTGTGCTATGTTCGAGCGAGCACTTCTGCAGGCGAAGCCAAGACTGCACTTTACTGAACCGCAGTCTGGCACACATCTGCAGGCTTCAGACAAAACATGGCACTGCGCACCGTCAGCTCGTGCGGGCAGAGAGGGACAGCGATCTCATCCCACCTCCGCTGCGCCTCTGTCATGGCCTGGGGCTAGAGACTTCACCGTTGACACTTTGGCATGATAGCCTCAGAAGCTCATCCCCGCCTCGCCGAGTTTTTCTGCTGCCACACGGCCATCCTGGCTTGAGCAGGCTTCCGAGGTCGCGTCATGCCGGGGGCAATGAGGCCTTCTCCTCGGCGAGGATCTGCTGCGCGTCCTGACCTGGGAAGATCACGACTGAGCCGACTGCCTTGCTTTGTTGGCCCTTCCAAGCAGCTGGCAGACACGTTGGTTCACCTCCCCAAGAAGTGCATGCAACGCACGATCCGAGTCGCCCCGAGGAAAGGGGTATGCCTTCAAGCAGGGCAAAGCGCGGCGCAGCCAAGTCCCTGGGACCGTAAGTGCATGCTGCAGTATCTGCTCTCATGAAACAGCCTCGTTTAGGCATTTCAGGATCTCTTTGGTATCCTTACGGCAACACAGTCTTTGGCTGAGGTCGGTTTCACTGGCACTTGTGTCCTTCTTTGCACAAAGGTCAACCACGACCATGTAGATAGTGGCAGCAGCCCGTACCTGCAAGATGTGCTTGGCGCTCTTGACTCCTTCGGACCACTGGGCCGAGGGGCACCGACTCTGTTGAAAGCAAGTCGGAATCGAAGATCATCTTTGTCACCTAACAGCTCTAGGAATGTGCTCGCGATCCGGCTGAAGCCTCATGCAGAAGGGCTCAACAAAGCGTTCCAAGGTTGACGCTCTGCGTCCGAAGGCCACGCATTGATCCAGGCGGCCACAGCGCGAGGGAGTGTTGATCTCGGGGACAAGGAAAGGGCTCCTAATGGCTCCTAAGGCCTGGCCACCTGGCCGGACTCAAGCACCGAACCTCACCACGGTAAGCGATGTCCATCTCTCCGTGTGTCGTCAGCTTCAAGTCCTGAGTCAGAGCGGCATCAACGGCGGCAGCACGAAGCTGTTCGGGAAAGCATCCGGTCGGAACCGTGAGGCGAAGCAGCAGCAGAGGCTGCAGTAGGGCACCCACGTAGAGCTGGTTGAGGGCTCTGACGGTCAGAACGCAAACGGCAGCAGATGACGAAAGACCCTTCCTCGGCAAAACAGGCGAAGCTTCCAAGATGCCTCAAGTTAGGACCGGCTTGCCTCCACCTTGTTTGACAGGAAAATGCAGTCATGCCAACAGCTGCTTCTGTCGGCTGGCTGATTTGACAACCTCGAGCTCCTATTCCTTCTCCCCTTTTCCATGAGCTCATACCGCCCCCCTGTCTCGCGAAAGCATGCTGCAGCCCTGCCGTGCAGCCCAAGCTCTTGATTGGAAGGTCTGACTTGTAATTCACGATCTCCGCACCACCGACGCGGAAATGCTTGCCAAGTTCCAAGACACAACCTGTCTGCTTTATGTTCGGCCATGGAAATCTAAGCGGGACAATAAACCATGGGCCATGGTCAGTGTGCCAGATGCGCTGAAAGGCTGCATCCATGCACTCGTCTGCAGTCGGCCTGCTATGTAAGCAAACGTCGACGGGGATTGCGCTGTTTCCTCGGTGATGCAACAACGACATCTCCCAACCGCATACACGGGTGTTGTCCTCGATTTTCGGGCTCCGAAAGTACTGTGCTTCGTACGGCTTGAAGAAGACCGGATGAAAGGAAAGGAAAAAAAGGACCCTGAGCGTTGCGCATCCCCTGATTTGTGGAGGTCACATCTTTCCTCCGCGAGTGGGGAGAAGCAGTGCCACAAGTTACGAGCAGGAATACCAGTGGTCGCAGGCCACCAACGAACCGAAGCACCGAAATCGAGTTCGCAAAAGCATGGATAGGGGAGGACGCCAACTCGGAACACTCGGCGCGTTTTGCGGTGACATACCGTCACTGCGGAAGCCTGACAGTGGACCTGGTGACACAAGACACACCGGAGGCGAGTAAACAGACTTGTTCAACACTTGGCTACGCAAGCAAAACTTCGAGCGAAGTAGCAGAGAAAGGTACAACAGGGCACAACTTCCGGAACACCTTGGCAGGTTTGCGAAGAGAGGCTTGGCTACTTCTTCCAGTCAGTGAAACCTCCGAACTGTCGCAGAACATACAACTTCCAGCTGTACTTGAAGCAGAGCGACACGCAGCCCGGTCTCGTCGTCTAAGTCAAGCTGGATGCTATTCCCATCAGAAGAGCGGTAAAGCCTCGGCGGAACAGAGCGAACTTCCGCCAGACTGACGTCTGCCAACATTGCCAGCAAGATGTCGTAAAAGAAAAGCACCGAGCGCGCTGCAGCCGCCGACTGCCCTCGCCGAGCAGACGGCGGGCTCGCGCGTAGAGCCCTGGCCGGTTAACTTAGAGAAGACTTAGAGGCGCAGCAAAACAGGAGCTGTGGCCTTGGTCCGTTCCGCAAACCAGGGCACAGCCGGGCACGACCTCTGAGTTGAAGCGGCGGTAGCCTCCCCAGTGCTGAGGCCTCTGACACCTTCGAAGCCTTCTCGACCCGTAGTCTGGGGTGAAGCATGTTTGCAGTTGAACGGACTTTCATGGACTCAGTGGCATATCTGCGAGGCACACACAGCATGTCATTTTTGCCTCGTACTTAGAGAGCCTGCATCTCTTCGGACCATGTGTCTGGTTTTGAGCTTTGTCTTTCTCTTCCATGCACCTGCTTGAAACGGAGGCCTCCAGCCCAGTCGCTGTGCTCTCCGAAGAGGCAGATTCTCCCCGTGACGAAGAGCTCGATTGTCCTTGAGAGGCTGTCAGGTGCAGCGGACCTTTTCTGACTGGACCTTCAGCATCTGTCCCTTCGTTCCAGAGCTGCTGCCGGATGCTTCTCACACTGCATGACATCCATGAACCCCTTTGTAATGCAGACGCATCCTTAGGCCTTGCCGTCCGCATCCGTATCGAAACATTCAATGCGGACATGCTGAGCCCGTGGCTGGTCATCGCTGCTTTCAACCATGGGATCAAACTCGAGCTTCTATAATAAACAGCGATCAAGACGAGTTTGCTGTGGAACAGTGCTTAGAATCTCAACGAATCTGTGTTTTCAGTATCTTTGGACACGATATCTTGACATGTCAAGCAAGATGCCTGACAGTGTTTCGGTGCTTCAATGGCTCGCGGGTGCTCTCTTGCATGGGCACAACAGCCAGCAACAATCCAACTTTCCGTCCAAGGCGAACAAGTTTACAAGTTCTGTATGTTTTCAGTACTCTAGAGAAGGCTCAGCGATTCAGCGACGTGAGTCTACAAGCACCACCTACTGAGGCATTGGAGTATCCATGCACCGTGCCCCAGCAAACCCCGGCCGGGAAAATGGTAGCGTTCCGATGTACGAAGCACTCGCCCTGCACACTGACCTGGCCGCACAAGGACGACAAAGAAGCTCACGCGAGGCTGCCGGCACCACTAGCAGTCACCAGCCGTTAGCCAGCTCGCTGCACTCTCTCTCCAGCGGCAGTGGCTACAACACGGCCTTACTGTGATTCGAATGCCCTGTCAGCCAGCACGACGGGCACCTCGTACTCCATGCCAAGAAGCAGCCTCAAGGCCACAAACAGTGCGGGAATCCGTCAGGAGCCGCTGCTCGACACTGCCATGCTTACCACAGCAGCGGCATTTTTGGTCCAGAACTCTCTCGCCTCCATGTCAGGACTCTTGTCTACACTACACCGTGAAAGAAGCACGGGCAGTAGCTCCCAAAACTCCATTTGGGTAAGAGTGGCACTTTACCCAGATATGGCTCGAGAGCAGAGTCAGCTGTCTTTCAGAGGGAGCTCCTGACCTCTGGGATGTGTGCAACCAAAACGAAACAACAGGCCGCGACTCTGGAGCCAGGGTCCGGTGAAAAACAGAATACATGGCTGCCCAACATGGCACGTGAAACTCTGAGTACTTCGGACCCTCTCCTCGAGTGACTCTGGCACTGCATCGCTAGGGGAGCACATCACAGGGCAGAGTGTGTTTGACTGTTTGACATCCGGATCAACACTTTCGTCTACTGTGCGACCTGCAACGTGATCCCACAGGGACACTCAATGGCGTCCCTGCTTACCAGCTGTCATCGCAAAGCTGAGAGTTGCCCTGGTCCTGGCGCCGCAAGCTTTTCACTGTCTGCGGCTAGAGATTCAGATCAGACGGTTCAGCCAAAAAACAATGCGACCAACTAATAAAGCAAGCATTCAAGCATCACAAGTGGAGATACACCACAGCTATGGCTTCAAATTCTGCGACAGGGTCCTTGGGCAAGAATCGGCCGGTGAAGTAGTAGTTCGAGTGGAGCAGCGGGCCTTTGAAAGCACCAACGGAACTGCGAGGCAGGTCCCCGGCCAGGGCCAAGGCTTGTTAGGGCAATCTCAGACGCAGGCCGAAGGCGATGATGAAGGTGCTGAGGATGAGCTGGCCGAGCAGGAGATGATGGGAGTGAAAGTGCTAATGATACTAATGCCACCAAGCCACACCCCAGATCAAGTACTCGCCAATGGGGCTGTGCATCCTGCACCTCGGATGCACTTGACCAAAGCGGAAGGAAGTCATTCTCTGGCTTGCATCAGGCCACATGTACTCCGCGAAGTCAAAGTGGTCCTGCATCAGGCATCCGTTGGGATGCAACGGGGAATCTCCACCCGATGGAAGATGCCCCTCATGCACGCAGACTTCGGACTCACGTATCGACTGCCGCATCCCGAAAACTCTTCAAGGAGGCACACCCTTTCGCTTCTCTCCCGTGCGGGCGACCTCCAAGTTGTGCCCGAGACGCGGCAGCGAGCGGGTGACGAAGCTGCGTGGAGCAACCAATGACATTGGGGCCTCTGCTCGCATGGCAGTTCCTCTTGCGCAAAACAGAGCCTCCAGGTTGCGTAGCGGCGTGGCCTCTCAAGGCCTCTCGAGACTTTGCTGGGCGCCGGACCGGAACCCGTAGCGGCGCTGTGCGCAGTCCCACGGCCGGACGGAGCCCGGCCTGGGCGATCCTGGAGAGAAACGAACGCAGCAAAGCAGGAGCTAATGTCTGCTGGCCTGGTGGCGCTGCGCAAGAGGCTCATGGCTTCTGCCTCGGAGCTTCAAGGCCGGAGAGGGGGGCTTTAGTGAATGCAACATATCACGAACTTCGAAAACTGAAACGCAGCCGCTCTCTCTCGGATGAAGTTTGTATATACAGACCCTGACAAAGGAGTCATCCAACATTCCCTATTGGTGCATTGAACTATGCAGCACGACAGCACCCTTTCTGCAAGACAAGGAGCTTTGGACTTTCTGCGGGGCAGTCGTTGGAAAGCCGAGGGCTGCACGCTGTGAGCCCAGAATTGGTGAGCAGGCTGCTGCATGAAGTGCGAGTGTTCGATTTAGGGCACCACGAATCATGGCAACTGTACAGAAACCAACAGAGACTCGTTTCTTCTCCGTACGCCCTGATTACGACTCGACCTGGGGCCCACACTCTGTCGGGTGTCGTATGGGCACCTTTGGTGCGGCTTGGATGGCTTGGCTAAGTCTGAAACTGAAACACCAAGCGGCTAAGCGAGTAGGGGAGGATGAAGAGCAAGTCACATGCTGGAAGTAGACATACTGATCAAGCTTCCTTATGCTGATCTCTGCCGTGTCGCGTGCCAACAGAGCAGTCCAACAAGCCAGCACATTGGTCAAAGCCTGAACGTGCTCGCCCCACGCGGCTGAAGTCCAAGGCACGACAATCACACCGGGTCGGAGCAGGCGCAGCTCCCGGCACGGCATCCGCTCCTGCGATCGTTACACAAAACATTAACGACATGCCGTGCGCTGTGACTCACGTTCGAAATACAAGACTGGCTGTTCGGAACTCGACTCTGTGGCTAGAGTCACCTGGCCGTTTGAGGCTGTTCGGTGACTCAAGCCGGACTGATCAACATGCGAGGCCTCGTGTCCCATGCGCGAGCTCATCGCCAGTGTTCCGTCACCAAGCTGGCAAACGGATGCAAACGGAGACTCACAGGAACAGGAGCGACCCAAAACTCGCAAAACTCCCGCGTCTCTATGGAGATGAAAGGTACAAACTCATCTGACTGCACATCGAGCGCCTGCACGTCCACTGCAGTGTGGACAAGAAAGCCTCATTGACCAATTCTCGGAACTCTTGGGCTTCCCGTGGAATCCGTGGCACATTTTGCAAAGTCTGACTGCCGAACACATTCGAAGCAAAGAACACAGTAGACTCTGGACACTAGCATTTACACCCCTGCATGCATAGACCTGACCTGTTGTGCGAGGAGCTGAAGTTGGTAGCCGGCATAATACCCAAGAAGTGAGGTCCCTCGGCCGCAATGTCCTCAATCACATCACCTGTTGGGCGTTTGCAGTTACGAAGTCTTGATGCCTGCCTTTGCTCGTGTAGGCAAGCTGCACTCGCAAGTGCTTTTAAATCTTTTAAACACAACTTCCACAAGATTCAAAATTTCTGCCACGGTGCTCGTTACACCCGCGGACAGCTCGTGCCCATAGCGAGTGACCGGCACCACCATGAACCTGCTTAGTGCTGCGCTCGGCAACTGCATCTTTCTCGATGACTCAGGCATCACGAACCTGCCAGTGTTCCTGTCTGCGTCACCATGTATCAGCTGCAGCATCGGCGGCACTGCCGGCGGCAACCCCAGCCTCTCCGAACCGGCTGGCAGCATCGTCGAGATATGCGCGCGATATGCATCCTCAGCTGACACACATTCGGCACAGCAGGAAGTCTAACGTGAACGGCAGACTTAGACGTTCGTAGACTAATCTGACCTGCTGAGGATTGCACTACTCGGCAGCAGGAGGCCTCCTCCTGTCAGGTGAGACAGCATGTACCTACTGCTGCTTGTCAGATTCTGCATAGGTGGGCCACTGTTGCCACTTAGCTTGCGCACAAACTACAAAATGTCTTCGGATGCCTCTGGACGCTTGGGCACTGTGGCGACAGGCTGTGGCATCAGCCGACGACGGAGGCTGTCGACGATGTAAACCTCAGAGCACTGACTGCGGCACTTGCACGCGATGAGGCGACCTGCTGGGTCGTCCGATGCATTAGTCACTTGTGTGCTTCGTGCCTTTACAATATGCCCTTCCTAATTGAGACGCTGCAGCAGGGATGACCTCCAGCCTGTTTCCTCTGCGCATTGCATCCAAGGTTCCCTGTACTCTGTGATAGGATCCTGCCGACAGATCCACAGCGACCCTTTCGACTCCAGACCGGCCAGCACATCAACGAGAGCGATGCAAGGGGGAAGACAAGGCAGAAGAGTGCAGGTGAGTCTGCGGACTGATATTGTACTATCGGTCAACCAACAATTGGATAGACGTCTAAACAGACGCTAGACAGGTCGTTGAAAAGTGAGAAAGAGAGATGCGAAGAAAAGATGAGATTGTCAGTATCAATGTGCTTTTACATCTTGACATATGCGTGTTTTCCTGTCATCAAGTAATATCAAATTTATTCTCCTACACTCATCTGCGCAACTGGGCATGTTCTTCCTGATTTATGTAATCTGTTGCGCAGAAGTGCAACTGTCAACAGTCTACCGACTTCCTTGATTAAACCTATCTACTTTACCCTCTTGTTTATATCTTAAGTTGAATCGGTGATTTCCGATCTATCAGATGATGCTCCCACCGCACCAAGGCATGATTGCGTTGCTTGGGCAGAATGTCCTCGTTGATCACTGTCCTGATAGGAGTCCAGATCAGCTCAAATTTCGGACCGCAAGACTGACTGTGAATGAGGACGATCGTTTCAGGATCTACAGGGCAGGAATTCCTTCCTTTTGCTGTAGTGAGTGACGCTCCTTCCCCACGACAAGATACCGATGCTGCCCAAGTCACTCAACAGAGTTCTGGCCAAAGTAAAGATCAGCAAGGAAGTACCCTTCGCGCTCGTCCTGGCAGAAGTCCGTGCAGTGTTGCGGCAGATCCCACTACTTGCTCCCCTTCTCCTCTGGCCCAGTCTGGGAGGTTTGTTGAGAACAAACATGACCAAACTCATCCAACCCTTCCTGACCTCGTCCTTCTCGATCCGCCCCACCCCGCAAACTCGGCAGCGGGTGGTGGGGAAGGGCTCCACAATGTCCGGGACGTAGGACCTGGGCAAGCATCCTTACAGCGTACTGTCAGCAGCCAGTGTTTGACTCTGAGCGAAACCATGCCCCAAACCACGGCAAGGAGGAAGTCAAGTGCAGGCCAGCAGCAAATCAACATTGTCTTGCGGGCAGCTCAAAGAGAACGTGGTGGTGTATTCCACGCAAGGATCTACCAAGATATCTGGAACACACACCTCTCCTGCATCACGACGCAACAATAACAAGGGAAGCACAGGTAATGTCTGAGTGCTTGTCTGCAACATGCCTTTCACAGAAAATGATGATGCAGATACTTCTACGATCGTGAAGGGAGGCTTCAATTGTACATGAAATCCTCGAACGGCTTCAAAAATCGCAGGGCTGGTGATGGCTGGTACCTGATTATTACACTGACCATTCGCGATGGCATGTACGGCATGTGCTAAAGCAAACAGAACTCTCCATGCCGCCCCAGCCGTTCAAAGAGCACTTACAAACTGTCAAGGAGCCGTGCAACTGCGTGCCGACCCGAAGCCAACCTGAATCTGAACAAGGCTTGACCGCGCGTCCTGGCATCATGTTTAAGCACCCAGAGATTGCATAGAGCGGGCAAGCCTCAGTTTTGGACATCACAATCTCTAACCCACACGTGGCCAACTGTGCAATTGACGCGACTCATGCCACGAACACATAGCTGTCAAGGAAAACCAACACGTCCAGTGGCATGCCAAGGTGTTATTGGATCAAGCGACATTTCCACAAGGCTGTGGCAATACTGTGGTGGTGGTCTGGCTGGTAGTGATACCTTGCAGAATGGCCAAGACTCTTGGAGATGCACAAGCCTTGTTTCGGATCTTTGTCGCTCACCACCTACCTACCTGCCTGCCTAACCAGCTAGCTAGCCAACTACTTACTAGTACCTCCGCCTCGTGGTACCTCCTTCCTTCCTACCAACCACTACGGATCCGTGGACCTGCACAGACAACGACCTACGGACCCACCTACCAACCTAACCAGTTACCTACTTGCCCAGATCTTCCAATACACCTTACCTGAGGAATTTACCTTACATTCTAACAAGATCCGCAATATGGCTTAAGGAGTAGTCCATAGTATACTGTAGGGGATATTGGAAGATCTGGGTACTTACATGCGTACTCACGCATTCACTCACTCACTGACGTTTGCACTCCCTCACACACCCACGTACTTGCTTGCTTGCTTACTTACTTGCTTGCTTACTTACGTACTCCACCGCATTCAAGTCCTCGCCATTCGCCAAACAATCATGCACCTTTCACGCACGATTGTTGATGCACGTGTGCATACATAGACATATATATATATACACACACATACCAGATGTATACCTGTACATGTACGTATCCGTTTGCGTATACAAGTGCATATAAAGATGCATGTAGTATGTAGACATACCTTTTCATATACCCATACACACATATAAAACTACACACCTTTTCACACATACCCATACGTACATATATACATACATGCATACATTCATACATACATACATACATATAAGCATTTTCATATATGCTGGTATCACACATACACATATAGATATATACAAATACAAACAAATGAACACATGAATACGTGAATGCATGAATACATGGTTACATATGCATACACACATACATACATCCACAGAACTTCTACATATGGCCATGTATACATTTTTGTTTCTCCATTTTTGCATATACGCATTATTACACACTTTCATATTCTCATCTATGCAGACATGTATACATATATACACATACATATATATATATATACTTACCTATGCGTGTATACATATATATATATACAAAAAGATACATATATGTATGTATGCTACCCCCCCCCCCTTTTCGGTACCCAGCCTTTCGTCTTTATGCTGATGCTTGAGTTGGCCGAAGGGTGGTGCATTTGGCAAACACGAGTCAACCATGAAGTATGGATGTTGTGTCAAAAGTCTGTGCCGAAAGCAACCTATATGTTTGCCTGAGCATCATGAGCAAGCAGCAAGGAAATCGGACAGAAAAGGCTACGAATGCATGCGCATGGTCACGGCCTACTGAAGCACACTAAGACAAAGAGCTATCATACTGTAGAATCCCCGTGGCCACCCGCGCGAATTTCGTTTCAAAGTGGATAATGGCTATGTTTAGATGGTTGTCGTTATCGTTTTTACACACACACACACGTTCAATCAACTTCCACTTGTTTTTATACAGCAATGTTATTGTTGTTGGTGGGTTTTGCAGTCTGTTGCATGAACTACCGTGTTTCCGACCACTCGTGCGCATCCGTCAAATTAGCAGTCAATAGCAACAACAGATGCAGTTCGTGACCCACTATGGTACGCGTAGGTTTCGTCGATATTACTGGAAGCATAGTCTTCATTGCCTCAGGAATCCGATCTCCGTTTCTGTTCTCAGTCATGCAACTGCTACATAATTAATTCTATGTCGAGTTCACAGTATACAGTGTGGCTTTGGTATTAAATCTAGCAGTGTCGTTATCACATCTTTTTACCATTACCATTGTTCCTGCTATTGTGGTGATTATACTTCATCAAAACCAACCCAATTAACACTATGTACATCCCGGTTTCATAGTTTTTGAATCAAGTCGTTTGGTCAATGATTGTTGTGATTATTAGTTCAGAGTACTTCGTATAACATTCAGGAACGTTTAATTATAATCAGGCTTGTAAAGTAAATGTAATGGTTGCTGAGTCCTGTGTTTACACATGTTGAAAAGTATAAACCTGCCAGTCAATAACACGTGAATGAGCACACCTGTGCGTGTAAAACCTCAGGGTAGGATGTGGTTAATCAAGTGACACATTTGCTTGTTTTTACTTGTGTTTAACCTGCTGAAAGTGGATTGTAAGTGTTCTACATCAAGCAGCCTGCGTAGTACACTCAAGGTTGTATGTTGCTGTTTTCAGGCAAGAGGTGATTTCGACATGTTTAGTCCGAGTTCAGTTCATCAAAAGTGTGTGCCTAATGCATGTCATATACATTTTATGGGTCGGACTAGGATTTTGCACATCGTCTTCAAAACTTTGCACCTACCAGATGTATGTCAGAATTCTGGTGCTAATGATGGTCTTGCTGATGCAGGGCTCTTTATTGCAAACATCAGAAAGCCACACAAAACATACATAAACACCACGACAAAAGCCACCCATGGAAACACCAAGCAACATAAGGAAATACTGTATACATTCATCTTAAGAAGTGTGGCGGGCCCTTTCTGATGCCACCGACCCTCCTCCGCAGCGCTTCGGGGGTCTCGCTGATGCTCGTGATGTGCGCCCCTGCGGCCCGGCATCGAAATTAGCTGGGAGATGCTGGGACTGGGGCTGGGGCTGGGGCTGGGGCTGGGGCTGGGGCTGGGGCTGGGGCTGGGGCTGGGGCTGGGGCTGGGGCTGGGGCTGGGGCTGGGGATGAAGCGGCGACAGTGGGCTGATGATGCGCGCCGCAGGGGCACGCATCATGAGCATCAGCGGGGCCCTTGAGGGCCTGGACTCCTTTGGGGGAGCCTTAGACAGCAGTACAACATTCTGGGAAAAGTCCCGGGTTGGCTGCTTGCGCTGCCTGCAGCTGGCGCATCCTAGGAAAGCCGTAAATACATATATATATATATATGCTACCCCCCCCAAAGCCCACGTTTGAACGGAAAACACTGTCCACAGTGTGTTAAACAGCAGATTTTCCAGCCATCGGACAACATAGCTTCCAGAGGCTCATTTCATTTTTAGACACAAGTAGCATGAATTTTCTTATGAATGGACAAAGGTCACAGGTTTAGTGGCAGCTATTGCCAGTTATATGTTATTGCCACTAGTGCTACAGATACTTTTACTAATGCCACTCTTACACTGCTATTAGTAATTTTAAATAGTACTGTTAGTACTTGGTAACATGTGTGTGGCTTCTGGGCCAGGTGGATGGCTGCGAGGACATAAGCATGTTTGCTTCATGGCAATGCTTCCAGTTGATGCGCACCCTTGCATTGGAGCACGTTTTCGCAGAAGCGGGAGCATGCAAAACTTGGAAGACCAGGTCTTCAGGAGCGTAGGCAGCTTGTAGGCGCATATCTTGCCAAAACCCAACCGAAAGTGGAAGCCTGTGGATAAGAAACTATAGGCTTTCAAAACTTTGGTCATATGATGGGTGCAAAGATTCCCACACTCCAACCAAAGGTCGCTACCTCGATGCCAGTATTCATATTGCGCGGATCGGAGCTTGGCTCTCAAGAGACTGCTGCCGGCCTTCGTGTGCTGATTGACCTGGACCCTCTCCTTGAGGAATTTCAACAGCGATCCACAATTTGAGTTCCAGACTTCACCTGGAGAGTCCTCTTTGTGCCAGGAACCTGATGTGAGACTAGCTGCACATACTTTG